TAATTATCACATGAACAAAAGTTCCAGCGTACTGTTCAGGACGGTGCAAGTAACAAAATTGATAAGATTATGCACAACCACAATCATATTTGCAAGCTACAGAAGTGCCCTACAGCAAAATTCTACTAATTGTCTTTTATGTGGAGGCACAACTAGGCACAGCTCAAATCAAATCTACATATAATGGCAGGAGATGCATAGTTTTACAGCACAACAAACAGTGATAACTGTAGGTAATAAAAGTTCCAGCTGCTTCAAACAGACTCATAACTCTAAAATATCTTGCATTTTGTATATGTTAAGATGAATCTGGATTCATTTATTATTACGTATGAATGTTTGTTTGTTCTGGCTACCCCAGTATTTACAACCGGATGAAAAGCAGCAATATTTCTCTAATACAATGAGAAGCATAATGCAAAAGAAGTGAGAATAACAGAAAAAAAATCTAATTACCGGTACTTCAAATACATTTGAATTGTACAATTTGATTGTACAATTGTCAATTTTAAAATATGTACCAGGAGTATTTGAAAGGAGATTCTTTTTTAACACAAATATGAATACAACACTGTGCTTGAGTAGGTGCACAAAGGTGTTGCACAAAATCCAAACAATAAGTAAAGCTGCCTCTTTAGGTGCTACAGTTCATACTAACATGGATTGGGGAAAAACAAAACAGTGGTAAAACAAAAGAAATAAAATAACATTGCAAACATAAACAAAACAGTACAGTGAAATAAATTTGATCTATGATCAATGGCCATTAAATCAAAAACAATTAATTTAAAGGGGCTAAAATAGGTTTCTACTTGATTCAATAAAAATCATATGGAGGTCATTAACATGATTGAAATATCTATTAAATATCAATAAAGACTTTGTGTGTTTCTTATTCAGTCTCAATGAGCTGCTCATTTGTAGCATAGATCTTGATGGAATGAAGTCATTATAGATCAGTCTTGTGACGGCAAACTGATGAGATCTTATGTAATCTTTACTTAATCTAGAATGAGGTCCCACTCATGGAGTCCACCCTTGCTTGAACAAATTTCTAGGGTAAGCAGTTGGCCCTTGCTCGGTACTGGAGCGGCAAGACACAATCCAGAGGCTAAGTTGTAGATTGGAGTACTTTTCTGTAAAAAAAAATAATGAAAAAACTGTGAAAATTGAGAACCTGATGAGGAGAGATGGTAGCAGGGCAATATACTTACACGGCCTCTCCGTTTCCATTCTTGATTGTCTCCCATCTCATGGCACTTGTAAAGTCTAGGATAGTTGTCAGCTGCCTCAAGACATAAAAGCTGGGCAAGGACTAACTCACTTTTGTCCGTCTCATACCACATCTGGCAGGATTACAGAAATTATTAAAAGGTTCCATCAAATATAGATTATGCAAGTAACATTAACAACAATTGAAGTACCTGATTTGGAGATCTCAAGCATGTTTTGAGCACAAGGCGAGCATTTTTTGTCTTCACGTCTTTCTCAGATGCCATGCATAAACTGGTATTAGCAAGTCGCACCTAGTAAAAATGTTATGTAGAATAACTTCATGGTTGTGTGTGTTTGATGGTTGGGAGTGTTATAGACTTCATACAAAGAGTAAATGAACAAACCTGGAATTGATCAACATAGTTGCGTTTTCGAGAATGCCAAGGTTGATATTGTTTCTTTTCTAGAGCACCCCATTTCTTTTTCAGACGGGACTTATCATCACTTGGTAAGACAAGTTCAGGATACACATTATTCAAATACCAGTGGAAATTATTACATTCAAGGCGATTGCGCAGCTCTATTCTCTCATCTACATTACCAAATGGATACTCTCTCAAATGGGGCCGTTCTTTGAAAAAGTATTCCTAAAACCATATTTGAAGAAACGTACACTTCCAGATTAGTGAAATCCAAAGAAAAGAGAAGTTCATTTGTCGATTACTACACGTATATAGTTTTTGGAGTATACCTTATACTCATCCATCCACACCATGGCAACTCGTAAAGAGTTTCTAGTCATAGTATCTTCACCATCAGGAGAGCCATATGGTCTTCTTCGTCGAAATACATGGCCTACTCTAGAGCAAGGAATCAGTTCTAGAGTACCCCCACACATCCAAATCTGTTAGATAAAAATATTTTCAACAATATTTAAAAGAATAACCAAA